CTACTCTTTTCACAGGATCGAAGAGTCAAATTTTTCGATTGCGGTTTTTTCGTCGTTGGCGAAGCACTCAAGTGTCCTCTATCGAATATGTGTTCTTGAGGTGTTGTATGAATCTGTAATGGAACTCTAACATCGCTGGACAAGCACAATATTCGGTAACTTTAGTCGGAAAAGTAACAAAAAACAAAATATACGGAAAACAACGTTTCTTAGTTTTTTTTTCACAAAAAAAAGTGCCGAAAAGCCGCCATTTCGCCGGCATACTGTGGTCTATCGAGTTGGAATTTTTTCCACAAGTACTAATCTCGGATTTTTAAAAAAATGCCAACTACTATCTTTTGAATAACTTTTGACCATTTCATAACAAATGAGTTTGGATTTTTACCATTCGATAGAGCGATCTAAGGGACATCTGGCTGTATGAGAACCACTGCAATAGAAGAAATTTACTATGACACTTTTCGAACGAATATCTTTTTTGATAGTAAATGAAAAGAAAAACAATTATTTCTGTTTTCTCTATTATATCTTATCTGCACGGCTTTCGTTTGTCTTTTTAAAAAGATCTCCACAGTCAGTTAGTTACATGTAGAGAGTGTTTATCATGTGTACTTTTTTTTTCACCTGGACCAAAATCAGAAAAACGTGAAGAAGATAAGCATAACGTCTATCATCTATTTATAAAGTATGAAATTTTTAATGCATCTTAAAAACAAAAGATGCACTTGTTACCTATCTTATATATCTGCTTTCATATTTTGATCTATGCAACTGCAAATCCAATAACGTTTGAAGATGTTCGAGGTACACCATACAAAGTTGATTATGATCATCGAGCAATAAGAATAAATGGTGTTCGAACAATGCTTATATCAGGTGCTATACATTATCCTCGTTCAACTCCAATGATGTGGCCATATATAATGAAAATGGCGAAAAATCAAGGACTTAATACAGTTCAAACGTATGTATTTTGGAATCTCCATGAACAAAAACAAGGTGTACTTGATTTTACCGGTCGTGCTAATTTAAGTCGTTTTCTTCAAGAGGCTACTAATGCTGGCTTATTTGTAAATTTACGTATCGGTCCTTATGTATCTGCTGAATGGACTTATGGTGGATTACCAGTTTGGCTTAATCAAATATCAAATATATCATTTCGTTCAAATAATGAGCCATGGAAACGTTTAATGAAAAAATTCATTTTAACAATTATTGATTATGTTACACCATATCTTGCTAAAAATGGTGGTCCAATTATTCTTGCTCAAATTGAAAATGAATACAATGGTAATGATCAAGGTTATGTTGATTGGTGTGGAAGTTTAGTAAGTAATGAACTTTCATCAACAGAAATTCCATGGATTATGTGTAATGGTCATGCAGCTAATTCAACAATTGAAACATGTAATTCATGTAATTGTTTAGATGATGGTTGGATCGATAATCATCGTAAATATTCTCCTGATAAACCAATGTTATTTACTGAAAATGAAGGATGGTTTCAACAATGGGGAGAAGCGATTGGTATTCGTAAAACATCGGATATTGCTTATTCAGTTGCTAGTTGGTTCGCTGCTGGTGGTGCTTATCATGCTTATTATATGTGGCATGGTGGAAATAATTATGGACGAATTGCTGCGTCTGGTATTACAACATTGTATGCTGATGATGTATGTCTTCATGCTGATGGTACACCCAATGAACCAAAATATACACACTTAAGTCGACTTCAACATTTAATTGCTGATCGTGCTCAAGTTATATTAAGTCAAGATTCAACTCGTATTTCATTACCTTGGTGGGATGGAAAACAATGGGCATATGGTACACAACAATTTGTATATTCATATCCACCTTCGATTGATTTTATTATTAGTCAGGCTACTGTTCCAGTCAATGTTCTTTTTCGTAATCAAAATATTTCAATAGATGATCAATCTATTCTAATATATGATGACAATATGAACTTATTATGGAATAGTGCTAATTATAGTGATATTGATAGTGATAATACAGAAATATTTCCTGTTGTTGTTGGTCCACTTAATTGGCAAACATGGTCTGAATCATCGAAAATATTAAATTTATCAGTAATAACATTTCCAAGTCCTCTTGAACAACTTAGTATAACAAACGATGATACAATTTATTTATGGTATCGTCGTAATGTGACATTAAAACAAGCATCAGCAAATTCAATAATTCGAGTTCAAACACGTATATCTAATGCTTTACTTTTCTTTTTGAATGGACAATATTTAGGCGAATTTGATGATCATAATCATCAAGTTGGTAATAGCATAGAAGCTTATCTAGCAGTTGATCTTTCACATTATAAACCAAATCAACAATACTTGTTTGAAATTCTTTCGATTTCATTTGGAATTTTCAGTGGTGTTGAAACTGATTTTTTCGAACAAAAAGGTATTGTTGGTAATGTATGGTTTGATAAACAGCTATTATTTGATAATGAAACGGAAACAAATTTTTGGCAACATCAAAAAGGTTTAATTGGCGAATATCTTCAAATTTATACTGAACAAGGTTCATCGAAAGTTAGTTGGGATACACAATGGACAAAAAATATTGATAAACCAATAACATGGTTTCAAGCACGATTTGATCTCGATCATCTTATACGAGAAGATACAAATGTTAATCCGATTTTACTTGATGCTCAAGGTCTTAATCGTGGTCATGCATTTATTAATGGAAATGATCTTGGTCTTTATTGGTTAATTCAAGGTTTTTGTGAAAATAATCCACCATGTTGTTGTCAGCATGCTCAAATAAATTGTTTAAAACCAACTCAACGTTATTATCATATTCCATCGGATTGGCTCATGGCTAAAAATAATTTAATAACAGTATTTGATGATTTAGGTGCACCATCACCTGGATCAGTAGGTTTTGTACAACGTGTTGTTACAATTAAAAAATAAATGACTTTTGCATATTTTACGGCTTGAAAAATAATGTGTGCAGTTATCTAATTGATATTCTAATTCTTTTTGTTGTTTGAATATAAAAATGAATAAAAAAACCAAGAAAGAGTAGTGAATGTATAACAGTTTATTATTCATTGATCACCAAGGGAATTTATTATAAATAATTTGATCTTATCACGAGATAGCCCTTACTCTGCTGTACATTTTCTATAAAATTCAGCTTTATCAAAGTCACGTTTCCAAACAGATGAAATCCTTCAATTAGGGCGCAGTTGATAGGTGTATTTGTTGACAATGTCATTAAACTGGGACTAAGCTTCTGAAAATGGAGAAGTAAGAGATTAAGCAAAGGAATAAAGGTAGAAGAGTAAGTCGATAAGGCTAATTGTATTGAGGCACTGGTCAGTACGAAACCTTTTTTTACGTTTGGTAAAAATAGCTGTTAGCGCAATCGCTGTAACATAAAAATGTGAAACACGATGGAGCTGCTAGTATTGTAAAAGCGGGAATTAATTATTATATATTTCGGCTTATAAATTCCTACCTCCAGGATGGTCCAAAAGTTACCTACCAATCTTAAATTGCGAATAACTTTTGATAGGAATAAGATAGAGAACTGCGGTTTTCAGCGTTGGAAAGAAGGCGTTTCACTGCATAGTTCCATGTCTTATTCAACATTGTACACATATTAGCTTTGTCTTAGTTATTATCTTAAGAGAGCACCAGATGCATACGAGTTTCAACAATCTTGGAGAGCATACGGAATAATCATGTCACCTGAAAAACCCTGGTACAAAGATATGGGGTTTAGAAGAAATAGTTTCTTTCCAAGGAGGTTGTCTGAACGGGCTCGACATACTATAGCTGATTGGAAGATATTTGAGAAGGAACATAAATACGATTTCGAGTTTTTCAAAAAAGATACACTTTACCTTAATTTATTCGTGTACAAATATTTTCTTTATCCACCATAGCCATAGGTCGAACAAATGAAGGGTGTGGGTGTGGGTTTATCAAACGTCCACAAAAGAAGAAACAACATTTAGGTCGATATCTCGTTCATACCTTAAATGATTCGAGATTGTCCTTCTCGCTGAATTGATTTAGATCAATCAAAAGAATGCGTGATATTGTAGATGATCGTTAACAGCGACTTTTTTGCCTAAATAACAGAGTTCTTTCGGAACTGTAAGCTTAAATCATTTCGGATGACATGTCAGGATCTTGGCCAAAGTTAAATCGCTCTTGAAAACTGTTGTGAATGAGCAAAGCAAAGTATAGTTCGATCGCGTGATATTGGTCAATATGAAGAGAGTCTAGTCGATGATCTGGCTACATTTCATCGATATGTGGTTTGAAATCGATCCAATTGCCACACAAAGAATGGTGAGATGATTCATGCTAGATTTCAAAAGACAAACTTTCTTTCGCATGCTTTATTCTAATAGCAACTCATTGTCACGTAGACAGTGAAACTCCTTGTATTGATTCTTTGAGACTCATTCACAAGTTTTACATTGTTTCAGAAGTAGAACGTCATCAACGCTCTTATACCAAAACTATCTCCTCAAGGGTACAATGGATTATACGACAATAAAGAGTATGTAATATTTAGCCGTTCGTCGTTATTGAGAGAACGTGTATCCTTCATGTTATCAACAAAATGATTAATCTTTGACTGTTAGATGTTTATTACAAAGATGACAATGTGGTTAGAAAGTAAGGAAGAACAATAACGACCAGGATATACCGATCAATAGTTTGTACAGTCACATAAGAAAAATAGGGAGACGGATCTTGAAAGTGCAATTAAGCTCGGTTCTTTTCTGTTAAACTTAAAAAACGAAGACGTATGTATGCCAACAATATTCTAATCATTTTGAAGACTTTTTGTATCTATTGAAGATATAATAAAGAATGAATTTCTTTTATTGAATTGTTCACACGGTACAACACTATGTTAAAAGAAAATATGCATGACATGCTTATATTTGTTGATTGTAAAATCACACTTCACAGCACAGAAAAAAATAAGATAATTCAAGTGAATTAAACTGGAATGACATCGAAGCCAGCACGGGGAAAATGAACGTTAACATTGCCTATCGTTTCGTTTGATAGACGGAGCACGGTCTCGTAGTTGTCTGCTGCGACAAACGTTCCTTCGACTGGTACACGACCAACATCATCAGGTGTCACTCGTAGTTGCTGACCAACATGCCATTCACTCTTTGAATTATTTTGGATGTACGTGGGCTCGACTGGTTCAGTTTGTTTGGCCACATCGAGTGCCTCTTCAGGCGTCATTTCTTTTCTCGTACCATGACCGAATTTAGCCACACGCTCGAACCAAGCTAATAATTTAGGCTGGTTTAGCTGTGGTAAAATTTTCTCGACTTCATTACCCAAGACTTCCATGACGAACCATAATCCATGATAAGCAGTGATGTCGAATGCAGATGGTGATGAATCTCCGAGTAGAAATTCACGACCATCAGCCAGCATATCCATTAGCCAGACGAGATGTGAATTGACGCGTTGCACGTTTACTGGAATATCTTTTTCGTTGTCTTCCTTGGAAAAACTACGTTCGGGAGCAAATTTTTTTCGATCTTCGATAAAAGCTTCGGGTAACTTGTCGCCGTGGAACCCAGCTAATATTCTGACTCCGGGCATTACCATCGATTTATCCCACCACCAACACAAAGGTTGTGTGACACTATTTGAAAGGAGTGCAGGTGAGTCGGGTCGAAGACGATCGAGCGTGCGTAAAATTAGATGAGTGTCACAGTACACATCAGCACCTACTTGAAGGACGGGCACACGACGATATCCACCGGCTAACAGTTCGAGATGAGGTCGTGGAAGTATATTATTGACTAACACAGAGCGCCAGTTTAACTTCTTTAAGCCCATTGCAAGTCGCACTTTCTCGCTGAATGGTGATCGCTCGTAGTGATGAAGAATTAGTTCGTCGGACATATTTGTAACACTTTGTCACTTTCAAAACGACTAATATGAATCAAGACATTATCTGTTTGGCTCTTAAATACCTATAAGTAAAGAGAACAAGAAGTATTCGTTCTAAAGATAAGAAAGAAATCGAAACGATGATAAGACCTGCTGCATTCCCTAGTGAAGCTATAGAACAAAGGTGGTACGAGGTTGTTGTTTGAGAGAGAATGACACTGTTTACATCAATAAATACGCATGTTGTTATAACGGATGACCAATAAAAAATGAGACAAAATCTTTCCCTCTTTTTAGCGCGCTTTCCAAAACATTAAAGACTTCCTTTTCGGCTGATTCGATAGAGAATTCTTCGTTCTACAAAACTGTTGATCTTGTTTTCCAAACAAGTTTTTCTTACCGACGAAAACTTGAAAAGATTGATGATTAGTCATCCGTCCAACGGCGACTGTTAAAAAACAAAACAGTTATTAAAAATATTTTTAAAGAACAGTTCTGCCAAAATTTGAAATATGCTGCAAGATACACTGTAAAATTCTACATTTCGCAATGTTTCACAATTTTAGAAAAAACGTTTGAAAGAACAATTTTTCTAGCAATAACTATAAAACAAATTAAAAGTCCATTTTCTGATATTGCCATGACGTTATTTGTTTTTGATTCGAGACAAACTAAAGATTTTCGCTGTTCTCTTTAAATGCTACATCATTCTGTTCGGGATTAGATTCTGCATCCGATGGTAACATAATAAAACATTCATAGACTACAGGTGACTGTTTGAAAAGACAAATTTCGAAAACATATTCAACGGAAAATCCCGCCAGGTGTTAGTTCCAAGTCTTTTGCACCTGGACAACATCATTGGAAGTCTTCAGAATATCTTGGAAGAGAACAGTAGAAAATTCTGTATCTGTTGATGTTGAATACTTTACATTTAACATGGAACTTGATGAGCACAGATTTACACAAATCGTTAGACATTCAAAGAAAATAATAGGAGATCGCAGTTGGACGGATGAGTGACTATCAATTTTTTCAATCTTTCGCCGATAAGAAAAACTTGTTTAGAAAATAAGATTGACAATTTTGTAGAGCGAAGAATTCTCTATAGAATCAACCTTAAAAGAAATCGTTAATGTCTTAGGAAGTGTGCTAAAAAGAAGGAAAGATTTTGTCCCGTTTTTATGGGCCACCCGTTACATGAGACATAGATTTAACAAAGACGGTTGAGGTGTGAATTAGAATAAGTGATGAAGATCAAATTTCGGAGAAGTCTAGTTCTCAAAGTCTATGACTCGATGAACTCCGACAGTTATGCTTGTATTTGTTCGGAACAATTCTACGCGAACATTTGTGATTCTTCAACAGTGAAGCTGGAACTTTCTTTTCACAACGTAACAGCGCCATTGTACCTTTTCGCTTTTGTTTCAACTTGTTTTGTCAAGCTAGAAATGTATTACTATCTACCGGTATTTCAACAGTTGAAACATTTAAAAATCTCAACGTCGATTGATCCTGCGCAACGATGTCCTTCGATCTCCGAACTATGTCAAACTCATCTCGGTCTGATGTGTTTGGCCGATAAAATTCTATGTCTGATCTGGAAAGTCTAATTAAATCAGTTGATTTTCTAGGTAGACACAGATGATATTGTATTGACTCTTTCGTTGGCCGAAACTTATGTATTAGAACATGATTCACAGGATATGACCGCATTTAAGGGACACAAACTTTTCTATTTTGAAGAATTCTCCCATTATAAATAAATAAAGAGCATGATATATTATTATTACCCAGCTCTTTAACTTTGATTCCTGCTGGAGTGCGCAATCAATTGAAGAATTAGATGCAACACTGTACGAAAGTTTGATGTATATCTTAGTCGATCATTATCCGATGTTTTCATCTTGTACTGTCAGATGTTAGATCTTATTATTATATAAAATGAATAAGGAGATAAAAAAAAATAGTCAAGACAAAGGAAAAAGTGATTGAAGTTGATTAAGAGAAAATATAATTAGGTCAGAAAAAACTTTTCGTCATTTGGTAGTGGCGAAACTTCGTCGATTATTTCCTGTCGAGTACTGGTGACAGTCAATGGAAGACGAAGGTGAACATTAGTACAAAGTCCGTTAACATGAACTCCGAAATGAAGCTCGTAGCTTACAACGAGTGGCTTGCGAGCAGACCATTGAGGAGGGATACACGAACATGTTGGTACAACTTTTTCTGGTACATAAAATTCGAATTTATCGTGTAAATATTTCTCTTCAAAATTCTGAATACCCTTTAGATTTTGTTTGAGCAAAACAATATCTTCTTTTCCTGCAGGACCTAGTAATCGTTGCTCAATGAGAGTCAATGATATTCGAGTGATCGTTGCCCTGTTGGGATTGTGTAAATCAACACAAACCGATAATTTTTCACCAGCGATGACGGTATTCTTTTGTAGACGAGCATGCATATGGACATCTTTTCTATTTTTATCTTCATATTCACTTTTCATTATGGGAATCGGTGACGAATGACCTTGAACAATAATAAAAGAGGCTTTTTGAATATTTTTTTGGTACCATTCAGATCGAATCAATTGAACACGTACAACATATCGAATGAATGGACCATGATAACGTGTTTGTTCAAGCGTTGAAGGTAAACAATCAAGAACACGAAGTGCAAATGGCCATGAATGGATGCCAGACTCTAGAACGAAATCATCTTTCGTCTTGACTGATCGTACAATTTGTCGTTCAGTAAAAAACGGTACAACATGAATATCTGTCGATTTTGAGAAATTTGAACCACGAGTGGTAGTGTACACGAGTTCGCCCACTAGTTCGACAATGATATTCTTTAATTTGAGCTCGATCTGCGCATCATTGAAAAATTTGGCTGTGCCTGAAACAAGTTCACCTGTTTGATATACAGTGCTATTGTTCTTGCCAAATTGAATAGAAATATTTGCTGCTAATGCACTTAATCCAGAACCCATGATTATTAACACCAAAATACAATATTCAATAAAAAATTGTTGAATGAGTTAATAATATAAAGATAAAAATGAAGGCAACAGAATCTTTGTATATCTATTTTCATTCTTGTATCATATCTTCGATGTTTATTGACATAGAACGAGATATGACGCGTTTCTTTCTTTGACTCATATCTACTCACTCACATGTTATCATTTTCTGTTTCAATTTCTGAGGTCAATCAAAGAAATAAGGGTGTAGGTGCGTCGGTGAGGCTACTTGTTCATCCACACCCACACTTAAATCCTTGGCGCAATTGAGAAAAATCATCAACAAATACGTCATAGTATCCAGGCGTTAATACACACGTCTCAGAATTTGTATTAATTATAGATTTTCGATTCATACAATTAACACTTATAACAAGAGCAATTTTCAATTAGGGTATCTAAAGAGAATTGTGAAATATTGATCAATTGGTAGAAAATTTACCGAGAAATTCGCCTACGGGAAGAAGAAGACACATTTGTAGATTCTCTTGAAATTCTTAGACAAGAAAAAAAAGAATTTTTCGCGTTTTGACAATGAATACTTGTCGAAGAATAAATACTCGAATTCAATTGACAGTAATAGATTGAATAAAGACTATGAAGTTGTGAATCATTTGGATTATCAAATGAAAATGAAGATTTTAGATAAATTATCTTGCCGTATTCTAGTACACTAATCATAGAGAGAATTAACGCAATCGTTGAACAGATTGAGAAAGACTGATTTGCTTAAAGAATCACAGGATGGATGTGGGCATGCGTGATCTGCTTTCATCAACACCCACACCCTCAAGTGAACATCAAATTAGACCAAAATGTAGCCCAAATCGCCCTTTATTTGTGCTAAAATTTTCAAATTTTTGCGTTTTATTCCTGAGTTTTTTTCGTTACACTTTGATGTTGAAATATGAAAACTTTAGTGCCAATATAGGGCGATTTCGGCTATATTTTAGTCTAATTCGATGTTAACTTGTTATGAAAATTCATGAAAATAGACGACAAATAAGATGTTTGGCTGCGAATAACTATACAAAAGGTCCGTAAACCTAAAGAATTTTGTGCAGGCGGATGTCCCTCACGCTGCTCTATCTAATGCCAAAAAACCGACTTCTATAGTTTAAACCGTTGAAAAATTATTCAAAAAATGGTCACTGCTCTTATATTTTGAAATGGATAATAGTCATTTCTAACAAATAAATTATCACTCACTCATTAATTAAACAAAAGAATCGTTTAGTTGTTTATAAAGGGACTTTATAAATGATGAATAATATAAGTAATTGTTTTGTACGTTTGTATTTCTACGAAAGTATAGTTGTAAAATGAACACGTGGTTTACGAACATATGCAGAAAGAAAAGAAATACATCAAGCGCACATGTCTATAGAAAATTGTTTTTCTTTCTTCCCATTTTTCTTGTAACTCGTATATATATATCTATTGTATCATATTTGGTCAGACAGTAAATTCAAGTCAAAAGAAAACAAAAATTAGTTCAATTGATTCGTTCATGGAATTCATACATAATCTCTCTTTGCATGGCATTGTGACAATCCAAGATTAGCTAATCGATCTTACCATCATAAAATATAATCAGTGATGATTTTTTATTTTAAATAGAACATATATTCATTGAAATATGTCGTACCTATGTGAAAAATACTCTAGATAATTCATAATCAACTCAAACTTCTATTTTTAATTAGAAAAAAATATTCATAATAATTTTTTCTTAAAAATGGTGTACAGTTGGTCAACATTGTGAGCCATTTTTCGCCTCAATACATAATTTTTTTTAAACGTTTTTTTAGTCATTTTGTAGAGGAGAAAAAACTGTACAACATATGTGAAATTCAACATGGGATCTTTTGAATTGACTGAATAGCAGATGATATACTGAAGATAGTTGACAGATTTTTTTTACTCAAAAAATTGTCAATCTTAGACAGTATTTGAGAAACAACTCTCGATCAGCACATTGAAATATAATTTGTAAAAAGGTAATTTTGTTCAGCTTTCAGTGCTCGATCTATTAGTATATTACACGAAAAATTTCATTAACTTAATGTCATCGAAAAAATCTCAACTTTATATCAACAATTTTTGATGATATTTTTCAAATATCATCGTGAGTGCTCGACAGTAAAATTGAGCTAACTTTTCACCAGCTCAACGAAATGCGCTAAGAATTTGGATTTAGAGGTTTTAGATGATGCTGAACAAGATGAGAATATCAAATCGAAAAACTAAATTTTGACGAGTGCTTCGATATCTGGCACGATGCACGATGGTCTCATGGACTCTCTCTTAATAATGCACAGAAGTATTTTGGCAATAAAAGATATTTTTGAAAACAAACAATTTGAATGCTATTTTGTTGCTATTCACCATGTAGAGTTACAATATCACAAATGTTGTTACGATCACATATACGTACTCAACAATGCAATACCATTACAATAAAGCATTCTGTTCAGAAACGACTAATACGGAAACGAGTTACAAGAGGTGAATCTTTATGATTATAAAATCTAGTAATTCAATGTTGCCATAAATTTGTTATTTTAGGACAAATGGAAATTGAAGTTGAAGAAGAAGAAGAAGTGGTACACGAGGAGGAACAAACAGATCAACTTCAGAAGGTAGAAGAAGAAGAAGAAGAAGAAAAGGAGGAGGAAGAAGCAGAAGAAGAAGAAGAAGAAGCAGAAGAAGAAGAAAAACATTACAATCTACGAACCAGAAGAAAACTACCTGTTCAAATTGAAGCTCCGAAACTAAAACCACGTTCACGTCGAACTGTCAATAGAGCGTAAGTAACTTTTCTTTTAGATAAGAAACGGATAAGAGAAAAAAGTGCAGTGGAACGACTTGTTTACTGTAAATATTTTTCACATAGGGCTGAAGTTGATTCAACTTCCTTGGTCAAATGCGAAACGGAAGAAAACCAAGCATCATCGTCAACTCGAACGCTTCGATCAAGATCACAATTAGCGGTGCCCGCTGTTAAAACAAGATCAATATATGCCACAACGACGAGCACGTAAGATTGATTTCTTTGATATTATGGAACTAAATACGACTGTTTTTTTTTTATTAGAACGGTGCGCTCCATTCAATATGCTGAAATAAAAGAACTGATTGAAGAACGTATCAACAACCATCATCAAACGGAGAAAGCTGCACGTTATTTGTGCAATTCAGGTAATATTTCTATAGCAACTCATATCTTTATGTAATTTTTCTTTCTCAATTTAGAAGAAGAAGTGGATATTATTGAATTATTGACGTCATTGGATGAATTGAGTGCTCAACCAAAATCAGGGAAACTATTAGTAAGTTAATCAGGGCCTTACTGTATGGAACGAGTGTTATTTTCATGTCGTTCGTTTTTATCAGTGTTAATTAACACGTACATAGAGCGAGAAGAAAAATCAGAAAAGAGAATCCGCTAATAGCTATTAAGAACGTATACCTATTTTAATTGGATAAAAGTGTATAAGCGACATAAGAATAACACTCATTAGAGAAATATATGGAATTAATTATTCCTTTTTTAGAAAGCACTTACTGAACGTCAATCGACACAAGCACGGTTTTTAACTGCACGAGACTTTGAAGATGGATCTCTTGCATGGAAAAAGCTTAACAATAAACCGGCAGTTTATGCAGTAACCGTATGCATACCTCGTCCGGTTTACAATTCCATGATGGATGATGAAACACTTCGAAATTCAAGAGTTTTACAAACTGCTTTCTTCGATAAAATGGAACCAGTTGTTCATCTTCGTGGCAAAATTGGTGAAACCAACAATTTTCAACGTCGCGTTTGGAACTACAATACTACAGAAAAAAACCGGTATGATTACTAATATATTATTTATACTATAATAATGTAATTTTCGTTTATTATAGGTCAACTAGGACCGATATTTTGCTACTTAAGACAAAAAGCAAAGGAATCGAAGACTGACCAATTTACCGATTGGGTGAAAGTACGACCAATTTTATCTGGTGAACGCCTACATGTAAGTCGAATAATTGTTCAGCAATTTAATTTAACTTTTCTTGTTCAGGATAAGGAAGAACGCTTCAAAATGGAGACACTATGCTCATTTTTACTTGGAAAAGAAGGCAATAGTGGTTATAATTACATCGGTCGAGTCGAGGGCCGTAGTAAGGAGGAACAGCTGAAGTACAGTAAGTGTGAATCCTATGAGAGAATTGAAAAATTTAAACTATACTATTGTTTCTCTTTGACCATTTAGTGGAATATTTAAACGCATATATGACTAAACCTATCGTCGACAAGAAAGGATTACCAACCACGCGAAGGGCGATCGCCTGTAAGACTTATTATGTTATCATGAATTGAAATATAATTGTAATATTATATATTATTTAGCTGCAAAAACGCATGAGACAAAATGCAAACCAATCGAAGGTTCCAATAATACGATCACAAACGGTTACGAACTTGCCGGTAAGACTTATTATGTTATCATGAATTGAAATATAATTATAATATTGTGTATTAATTAGTTGCAAAAACGCATGCAACTTTGTCAGCAACACGCATTGGTCCCGATGGTCGTTCAATAACAGGATATGATATTATAAGTAAAGCACACTATTTACGCCAATATTTCGATATCATTACAATAATGTATATAATTTAGAACACAAATCAATTGAACGTCTAAAAGAGGTGACTCATCGGGAAGATGGACGCTTTCGAAACGGCTACAAGCAAGGCGGTAAGCTCTTATTATTTTTAATAATAAATAATTAGTGTAGATGCTTCGTTTAGCTGCTAAAAAATACGCAAATGACTCGTCCTCAGCAATAGCTGTAATCGATGATTTTGTGGAACGAATGGATCTAGTGGAAGAACTCGGCGACGATCAACCGCGAGTAATTTACACGACGTTAACGGAAACACTCTAGTATGGATGGCTAGCACCTTGTCATGAGTGTGGACATGTTTCTTGTGTCACGAAAGTGCAACCAAAAAATCCAGAGTGTTTGGGTTCAGTTCGATGCTATAACAAAGAAAAACACAAAGCTGGTAAACGGATTTATGTAAAAGCCGACAATTCTGTAATAGAACAATATGTAAAACATTGTCGATAGTGATTTGTTTTTTTTTATAATTTTTTTCATATAGAATAAATATTTGAAACAATAAGTTTAATTTTTCTTTCATCAGAGACCATGGAAATATTCGTGTTCTCTCTATCTCTCTCTGAATGATATTTATGCCGCTCGTTTCTTTGTCTGTTTCATGCCCTTACCTTATGTCATGTATAAAATGGCGCATAGAACAGAAAAAACAATTTTTTCTCAATTTTTCGCTGTGTCTGACGATGTTATAATGGAAAAAGAAAAGAAAACATCACGCATAAAAGCATTGATGGATCAATGTATATAGTGATTAATGCATTATGATGCATTAATATTAAATTCTATGTTAAATTATCTCTTAGCTTTATTTTAATGAATCATAATCCAGTATTACTAAATGATATGTTGTCATATTCGGTATTGAGTATGTTTTAATGAATGATAATGATTTTGTGCTGTCATGAAATAATATTTCAATATCCTCAAGATACTTGCTCTGCTTTAGATAAAGAAAGTCAAGATTTTTTATAGAAAAGAATTCTAAACATTTTGAACAATGATCACCACAAGGTTCAATCAACGATCGATGATTTATCCATGAATAAATAAAGCGAGATAGTAAATGTAGAAACTGGTACCAAGCCCATTCATTAAAATTTTCTGTTACACATGGTACTGAAACATCATGATGTCCAAAGCAAAGATCTAGTTGGATAACAAGAAACGCATGAATTATATTTGTCAGTAAACGTCTATGGATAGGAAGTATCTGATAATAACCACCATTAAGTGCTTCTTGATTCATGTAAGCGGTGTATCCCATCCAGGGCTGCCAAATCCAAATTTCAAAAATCAAAAGTTTTTTGCGAAAAATCAGGAGTTTACCAGGGAATTTTTACTGAAAAATCAGAATAAAAATCAGAAGATGTTTATTGAAATCAGAAAATGAATTAGTGGTCTTCTCTCAAAGAAAACTGAAGTTTTCGTTCTTCTAATCACTCGTTATGTTCTTGTACTAAGTTACTGATGACAAAATTTCCTCTAAGTGATATATATTCTTAAAAAAACATAATTATGTGGAATTTATTTTACTACTCATTTCACAGTGGTTTATCAAAATATACCGACAAAATAGAAAATGAAGTTTAATTAGACATTAATATGTAACTAAACAAATTGGGCATACATGAACAATAATTTATTAACTATATCGTTCATGTCACTTTTGTAACATGACCATGAACGAAGGGGTCACAAGTCCTGAGTATGCTCGAGCCTACTGTAGATTGGACAGCTAAAGGCTTAGGTAGGCTCGTGGATGGAATAAATGAAGGCTTAGATAAGGTCCATTCATAGACGATCGAATCACACGGGTTGAGTAGACTAAAGCCTATCTTTGGTTCAGATTCCATAGACTATGGTACGCTCAAATAATTGTTTTCTACTACGTCAAATTGATAGGTTTGTGCAGTACGTAAAAAATTTGTACAGACGTCAAGATTTTTTGTCGCTATCGACAACAAATAGTAACATTTATTGAAACAGACCTAGAAACTGTTTTTGAGAAAACTTTTAGTTTTGTGTGGATAAATGTCAAATCTAGGGTCAGCCATGGTTTAAAGTGAGGTTCTTTCGTTAAAAGTGACGAAGTACTACATAAAAAACCTGAATCATATCAGCTAGTAGCTGCCAAAGACTTTCATCATTTTTAGCGACTAAGTTTACATTACCCGATCATTAGTGTTATGAGAGCAACTTTTCTCGATTATTTTTTCTGTTCTCGCCCGTATATTCTCTTTCTCGGAAAAAATTGTTATTCTTGTTCTTACACTCTTATTCCCAGAAAAAAATTTATTTTCACTTCTGTAAGCGGAAGCGTAAACCAGTCCATAGATCGGTGGTGTGTAAGTGTGATTTTATTTTTTTTATTTCGGTAGCGACTGAAAATACTCAACTTTTTTAGTCTGTCGGCGGAGGTGAGTGAATTTGTTGGACAATTTCTTTAAGGTTTTCTTATTTCAGAGAAATTATCGGATGGAAAAAGAGAAAACAATGGTAGAGAACACACTGATAAAAAACTCTAGACAGAAACATCGTTGAAGAATGATCTCAGGCGTCGAAAAATCTTCAAAACTGTTAGTTTTTTTGTCCCACCGACAGTGGCGGCTCAGCTCGGCGATTTACACTTCTAATCGTAAGACTTCAGGAATTCATATTCCTGTTTTATTTTTAGATTTTAAGATAACCGTGACGCGACTTGAAATTAAAAATATAATTATGATTGGAGCTACAGTAGGTTAGTTACGTAAAAATAAAACGCTGTTACATACAAGTATCCGAATATGTAGGTAAATACGAGAAAAAATGCGGGAACACCAATACTTAATGGAGTTCCCATTGCCATACGAAATGGAGCAAGAAAACGACGAGTATAGAAAAATATTCCCGCAGAAAAAATATATTTTCAACACAATAAAAACATTCATAATGTAATGTCGTTTTTATGAACATTGCTGCTTGGACATTATTTTATTTTTTAGCACAGCAGATGGAAAACAATTCTTGTGAGAGTTGAAAGTCAATGAAGATAATCATCAACATGTTTTCTTAAATGCGCGTTTTTTGACTGATAAGTTGCAAATGCTTTTCTTATCTCTATCAGCGTCATACATTACAAAGTGCGAGTTCGAAATGAGAAACACTAACTTTGTTTCATCAAGATGACATCAAAAAAATTGGCTTAGGCCATATTTTTAATTTTCTGGTGCGAATCCTGTAAAAAATTGTTGAGCCTACCCTAGATCCAAAACATTTCGCCACCTATGAACATGGTCATATTTTTCTGAAGACTGAATTTGTTTCAATAGGTCTGAATTATTTAAAAGATAATTATAGAACTTTGTATAACTGAGATGATTATTCATTTAGTTCCTGATTATGCACCAATAAGATTGCACTTCAAATCGTTTCTATTAGGAGCCCACAAAAATGTCATGTGGCTGAAGGTCAATTCACAAATAGCATTCTAGGTTGATATAGAAAAAGCGAACTAAACTAGTTTTTGTCCATGAGATACATTTTAACCGTCAAGAAGATAAGCTCACAAATAAACGCATGTTATCAGGCCTAACAAGCAGAAACGACGTGTTTTCTTATTGTCTATCACATCTATGAAATAGTGTGATAGTTCTCTTTTTCTTTGTCTCATTGATTCAAAATATCACTACAATTAAACGTGACAAAATCCTTTAAAAAACCAGGAGAAACCAGGAGAAAATCATAAAAATCAGCTCCTGGATTCAGGAGATTTTTTCACCAGGAGAAAAGTCTAAAAATCAGGAGTCTCCTGGCTAAATCATGAGATTTGGCAGCCCTGACCCTCACACACCCTCACCCACCCCACCCATGCTATAGTTGGTCGCGATACATCGCTTTGTGTGAGAAGTTTTCTTACATCAAAGTATCTCATGCATCATCACATAACTCTCAATACTGGTCGATTTATTGACACATTGCCTGTGCGTTGGCTTTGTTTTGTTTTGTTTTTTGAAAGTTGAAAAAAAGGCCACTTATGACAGTCAGCAAAGTGCATCCTTCATCATTTTCTTATCATAAAGGTAGCTGTTGAAGTATTCTGTACACAAGCGCAGCAACTCTCGGCGAAAAAAGAAATGCACATGAAAGAATTTTTTTCTCTCTGTTTATAAGTGGCATATGTAACAAAGACGACATAGGTAGTGTATCACTGCTAAAATCTAATGCAGGCTTCTTGTTTGTTTTGTAAGCGAAAGATGAAAAGTGAAAATTTGAGAAAGTTCATTTCCGAAGACTATATCAATAGCCACACTCAGGAGCAATTCATGCATTTATTTGTTGATAAATGAAGTAATTCTGTTCGTTAGTCTACTCAATGAAACGAAAAGATTCTTAAGAAGATATTTTTTTCTTGCTTTGTCTATGAGGACGATCCTCTGAAGAGAAATAGGTAATTCATGATGAAATCAGTAGAGTAAGTCAATCAAACGATGTTACAAAGATTTTAGTGAAAAATGTGATTGTTTCTATCAAACATAAAAAACTTACGCCGCATACAGGCAAAGGATAAATCGAGTACATTTTCTTCATGATCACCAAGGATTAAGATAGCAATATCAAAATATCTTTTGGTTTCAGTCGAAAGATGCTATGAAAATTGACGACAACAAAAAGGTGCAATAGTAATCGTTTTTTGCATTTCATCTTCACAATGCTATTATAAAAATGAATGCCGACCTCATTTTTTTTAAACTTCGAACGTCTCGAAAATCCAATTATTTTCTTTTGGCTTCACCGAACTTTTAAGTGTTCTTATATCTCGCTGTCTTTCTTCAAGTGACTGCTACGAAAAAATTTGCTTAGTTTTAGTGTGCACAATCTACTGTCAACATAATAACAAAATTGGGTGACTTGTTTACATCAAGTGTATTACAAAGGTGAGTCTCAACTCAGTATTTTTAGTCTTAGAATTAGAGTTCAGCAGATCCAAAACTTGTGTACTGAAATCTGACCTGCCTTGATCTTTTTTTAAGCTAAAATCCAGTACAGGACTTTGGTGTTATATTTCTAGAGATCTTCAAGTCTTATTTAATACAACTTCTAAAATGAAAGTTTTTGAAATTGAATTGAAAAGCTTAGAATTTCGGATCGATACCCAATAGACTTAATTGGATGTCTTTCCAATGTTGCTTTGTTTCGCTAGTAGTGGTACATTTTTGAAAGAGAGATTTTCATGGAGGATGAAAGTGAACAGGTCATTCTATAAGAGCAACTCGAACAGCGTAAAAATACTGCAGAATCATCGTCCTAAGGGCTTGAAAAAAATAGTATAATGCTCATACAATTAGCTTGACAGTTGTCGCCTATATTATACAACCAAACGAATAAGTTATTATGGCTGTGGATGGCCACACCCACACTCACACCTCTGAAGTTTCCTTAAGGCCAATTATCGCTTTGAACACTTTCTTATAAGGACCAATATCTCTTTCATAAACCTTGCTATGAATGATAATCTTTTCATGCACGCTGACAAAACATTTATGAAAGCGCAAAGCATCATCAACCTTTTTAGAATTTACAGATATTATAAACGCTTTCAGAAGTTTTTCATATGTAATAGCCAAGAGCTTTAAACCTTTTAAAGGATTATTATTTTACAGTTTTTCTGTTCACATTGGATTGCCTCTCATTGTATCATAGTCTCGAGATAGACCTCAACTGTCCAATTGCTCAATTTTCAAATAGAATGTCTGTCTTATAAAATGAAAACCCACTGAATAGAAGAGACATATCGAATAGCTATTGAACTAATGAATATAATTCAATTTTGCTATCTCCAAATGCATAGCTATTGACAAAAATATGTCTGCGGCAAAGCCAAAACCAAAAGCTGGCGCTTCTTCAGTTTCAAAGCTCAAATCAACAACTACCGTAACAACTTCAAAAACAAGTAACGAAGGAGCGTCATCATCAAAACCTCACCCACTTGGCAGTACAAAATCCGAAAAACATTTACACACTACAACACCTGTTGTCAAGGACTCTGCCATCACACAATCGACAGCTCCGAAACCAAGTAAATTCTATTTTGCTTGTCGAAACAACGACATCGATACAGTTACTTCATTACTTCCAACAATTACGCTCGAAGGAATCAATCAAATTGAACCGAATGGCTCCACTGCTCTGCATGCTGCTGCTTACTATGGAAATAAGGAGATAGTCAAATTGCTTTTATCGAAAGGTACTCAACGGATGATTAAAAATGTTCATGGTTACACACCGTATGATGAAGCTAAAACAGGAGATATAAAAAAGTTATTTCAACGCGTAGAAGCATCTGGATCGGAACCAAGAAATCGATTTGCTGGTGTAAAAGGTCCTTCATATGAATGGATCTTCGTCAAAAGTGATCCTTCGAGCTATGCTTCATTCAATCGTGAAAGTTTATGGAAATGTCGAAATGACGAAGAATTTGATCGTTTATGCCGTGGAATTCAACAATACTATATCAATGAGAATGGTCCCTTGGCCGATGTAGAACCTATTGAATCAGTTCGTTTATTTATTGATACAGCAATTAAAAACAATGATCCAACGCAGGTTGTTCGTGCATATACAGCAGAGACTGGCTTTTACAATCGAGTTAACACAGACCTTGCTCAAATCCCTGCTCATTGGTCTGGAACTAAACATGAACGAAATATTGCATAGATAATGGTGTTTCATCCTGTGCTTCAAAGATTCTCATTTACAGGTGAAACTTACCGTGGAATGAGCATGTCATTAGAAGATCTGAAGGACTATGTCGTTGATTCCATATTTATGAATAAAACATTTCAGAGTACATCAAAAGAACGAACACGAGCTGAACTCTTTGCTGAACGAAACAGATCTTCTGCAGTAATTAGTGTTGTTTGCAAATATTTGATTAAGCGTACTGGTACAGCGCTAGCTATTGAAGAAATCTCGGAATATCCGTGGGAGAAAGAAGTTCTCATACTACCTTATGCTTCATTCAAAGTGAAAAATATTCGTAAATCGAGTGGAAAAGCTGGAGTTGTTACAGAAATTGATGTGGAAGAAGAGGACGAAATGAAATGGACAATGAAAAACTCGTACAAGACGTCACAAACGCATACCTCAGTCAAAAAGATAGTTGGAAATCAAAGTCATCACGATGATACCTATAAAAAAATGTTTAAAGATTCACAAAAAGGAAAAATTGATTCAGCTGATTTATCCAAATGGAAGCAAGAAAGTTTTGGAATTGATCCTGAAACAGATGCATATGCAAAAATATGGAATGATGCAAAAAAAGGTAAATTTAGCAAGACTCATTCAGCAAAATGGAAAAAAGAATGTGGTATGGTTACAGAAGGCAATCATGATAATGATTCCGATTTAGAAAGTTATGATGGTGAGAATGATCCAACTATTTTCACGGCATCCAATGAACAGAGTTATGCTACATCAAAAACATTCAGTTCAAAACATCCATTTGATATGAAAGAATTTATGACAAAGTTTGAAAATGATAGTGACGATTAGAAAAGTACAATACGACAGTGAACTTATTTCTTAACGTTGACCACATTATTTTATAGTGTTCACTCGTAACTATGAATAAATATTTTTACCTCCTATTGAGAAGTCAAGGGATTTGGGTGTGAGTTGTTAATAGATTTTATGTTTGGTCTTACTAGACCAGGTTTGCCCATGACAGGTAACCAGATTCCAAGGCGTTGCATCGATATGTTAACCAATCAGCTTATCTTTTTACTTATTTACATATGTGAGTATTGAAGTTCATTTCTAACTAGCTAAATATTTATAACTTTACCTACTATTCTTTCATTGTGCATACCGGTTAAGCTACAAAAAAAAATGATGTATGAACGAATGTTTCCAATCATGGGAAAGAAGTATTTATAATTGGAATCATGTTTTGCCTGTATCATATTGAGGGAAATATCGAAGATTGTTATCGTTCTTGTTTGTGGTTTGTAACATGTCAGTCAAGTGTAATTGAGAATAACAGTACGATCAACAAAGTCAAATAAAAACCAGAATACTTGACCAGAATATACCATACCTGGATATGGGTATAGGACGTGGTTGTGAGTGTGGGTATGGCTATGATTGGGTGGATGTGAGTGTGAGTATCCATTTTCTGTATACCCACACCTACACCCACACCCATATCGTCCACACCCACCCATTGAATAGCAAAAAGTAAAGTGATCTACTAGAATATCCTTTGAAACCAACAATAAAGGTTACAAGTACAGTCAAAATTAAAACTCCAACAATAACATTACCCATGACATATGTCAAAACTAAATTTGTATACAAACAGTTTGAAAGTTGGGTGTATGAGTGTAGGGTGTGGGTAGGTATGGATGTAGTTCTTCTTTTAACCCACACCCACATCCTAGAATTTGATTCAAAATATCCAGTTGATTTAAATGGCATAATTAGTGAAGATGAATTTCAAGAATCAATTAATAAAATTAATCGGGCATTTTCTTCACTTCACACTTATGCAATGATCTGTTTGATTATTTATCTTCCGAGTATAGTAGTTGCAACACCATGCATATGCATTAGTATATTAAAAACAGGCATTTCTCGTCCATTGGCTATTGATGTATTGTTTAATATTGGAATTGGCTTTTTTATATTTGGTGTGGCATCTTTTATTATTACAATTTGTTTTGCACGCTCAGGTTTACCTAGTCAGACAAAATCGGTAAAAGAACGCGTTTTTACGCGTTCAAAAGCGGACGTTTTAACGTGTTTAAAATGGGTTTTTCGAAAAAAGTGGCGTTTTTTTTGTTGTTGTTTACCAAAAATCGCGCTTTGAACGCGTAAAACCGGTGTTTTTTAACGCTTGTCTGCCTGAGTTAAAGAATGCCATTTTTATGCGTTCAAAAGCGCACAATTTTGCGAGTTAAAGTCACCAACACCATGTATTTGGAGATCAGAATCTCCGAAACTTTGTGGTAGAAAATCTAAACATCATCGAAATAGTCCGTTGCTTCATTGTATAAGTATTATTGTTTCATTAATATCTTCATTTGTATTACATAAGAAATTATGAAAGGAGGTGAATTTCTCTTCAGTTTCCTCTCATATAGTCGTACACGACAGCCGTATATGTTCATGATATATACGATCGTATCTTTTCGACTTGGGAATGTGTTTCTATTATTTTGTTTTTTTTTCGTTAATGATTGATATTGATCGTTCTATGCCTTTAGAATGTAGTAATCAAATACATTATTCAAATAAAGTTGTTCCTGCACCAAAATCGTGTTTCGGATAAGAAAAAAATTCTTCACCTCTACCGTATGCTGATTAGTATGCAAGATTTTGTTCACAATGTGGTGTAGCATTGAAAGATTTTGCAGCTAAACTTTGTTTATCATATGGACAGTCATTTAATAAATATTTAAATTTTTTATACTAGTGGTTAAAGACTAAAAGCTATTCCTGTTTGATAAAGAATTTTCTGCATAATATAGTACTCAGTATTCGAACCTATATGAAAGGTATCAGATCAAATTGTGAGCACAATTGCACTTTGAAAACTTTGTTACAGCGAAATCTTAATACGATACTAGTCAAATATCAAAATTGCATTCGCACTTAGTTGTCAGACAATAACAATTCTCTATCTCGTTGATGTCATTTTCACAATGTAATCCTCTCTTATCTACATTAATCTTTTATTGATTAATACAAAGGAACTTAATAGGTATTTTTATTTATTATTTTTCGCATCTGAATGAAAAGGAAAACATTTCATTTTCTGTTACATCACGTTGAAAAAATAATTGTCATAAATTCTGTTCAATATTTTTCCCAATGTACTAATTGACCATACTGATCATACAGCACATAGCGATGGTTATTCTCGTTCTGTAGCAGATTTTACGCGATTACTTCTACTGGAAGAGGATGATGCTACTTGAACATAGTTTAAGTAATATGGTCAAAAATCTTTGTTCGACAGTACCTCAACTAGAATTGGTGGACATTGAGTATTTTCGCATTCACTAACGAACATAAAAAAGTATACAGAGATGTAGAATTAAGCCGATGATAGATTCATGATCTTATCCATTAATATCTTTTAATGTTATGTTGAGCTTCATTATTAAGTCAATGAAGAGAACGAGAAAGAGCAATATCATGTGTGATTTAAAAAGCATCACATCAAATATTTGCTCTTTAATCCCATTGAAATATCATGTATACTCTTTGTTAATCCGCTTGAAAGAATATGTTTATGTGTATATCCTAAGTTGATGAAATATATAGTTAAGTGGTAGAATTGAATACTTGCAATCGGTTAGACAATGTTGAAAATTTGTTGTCGTATGGCTCTCTAAGCTTAATCTGTTCGCTGTAACTGAAATCCTCTCATCGTTTGGGAAAACAGAACAGAAAAATTGTCCTGTCCTCTCGTAGCATCTGGACATTTGTTTTTCACGAGATACAAGCCTACCTTTCATCTGTTTTTACTGTTCGACTAATTTCGAAATGAATTAGTACTATTTTTCAATTTATGACGAACGACATTTTTCGTGTTTTTTTAGATATGATTGTTTCTCAGTTTTGTTTTTTGTTTAGACTATAATTTATAATATGAATGATTAAAATGAAACTGTGCTTACTATTAATATTGAAATTAATATTGTGTTCATCAAGTGAAACAAAACCAAAATTAACATTGAACGAATATTTCGATTTTACGAATTATCCATCAATAAGTCTTTCTCCTAGTGGTAAACATCTGATCATTCAATCCAAACGTCCATTATGGAATTCAAACTCTTATGAAAACAGTTTATGGTTATTTAATATTGAAACGAAGAGAAAACAACTGATTACAAACGTACTTTCCGAATCGATGAAACCACAATGGTCACCAAGTGGAAGTTGGATTGTTGTTTTACTAGATCAAAATCCAATTACAAACGCTACAAACAGTCATCATCCTTCATCCGAAGGATATCCAAAAGCAAATGAGTATATTTACTTATATTCCATCATATCAAACGAATGGCTGCCTATTCATATTGGCAAAGTAATGCCATTAACTTTAACATGGTCCAATGATGATTTCTCTCTTTATTTTGTTACATTCACGTTAATGCAACCAAAAGAAGATCAAAATTCACAGAAGATCGAATGGAAAGATGTTATTCAATATCGATTGTCGAAATCTGATGAGGGTAGTTCAATTTATCGTATTGATATAGAAAAGAATAATCAG